GTTTTTTTTTTTGTTTTTTTTTTTTTTTTTTTTTTTTTAATTATAATAGTGAGTGGAGAGAGTAATATTTTATAGTTAGGGTTACCTGCAGATATTGCAGTACGTGGTTGAAAAGACGCAGAAAATCCAAATCTGAGTACAGCAATGGTGGCAATTATGTTTGATACTAAGACGTGGTAAGATACTATTACTGTACCACACTCCAAGCCTATTTCACTAATACTATTTTCTTTTCCCCATTTACACTGAATACACTACTCAAATTTTAAGAGTACCACGTCAAAGATGAAGAGACGATATCCTTTTAACGTACATCCAAAGTTCCAGATTTAGCAAAGCACCTGGCCGAAGGAAACAGCAAAAACGTTCTCTTTCTTACGAGTTAGGATATATATATATGTATGTAGGTGATACCTTAATTCTTCATTTTTTTGGTTCAGTATGCCAGACTATGTCTTGCAACCCTGATGAGAAGATTTTGTAGAACTGCATATAAACCAAAAGATGGGGTATCATTTAATGACGACAGAACTTGGATCCAGAAATTATGTCATGACTCATGTATTTGTGGATGAAGGAATTTTCACATGCCTTATTAAACTCCAGTGTATCACCCCTTGTCTTTCGCAGCTCCACCATGTGCAAGGAGGGAGCCACTTCAAAAACCTGAACCCAAAGACAACCAATTTATGTTCCACATATTATAGAGTCAACAGTACTCAAGAGACCCAAGAGGCCGTGGTTAGTACCTCAGTAGCCACTGAAAGGTGACCCTTCCTCCCGCTCTTGTCACCTTGCAGCTTCATCTGCAATGTTTAATTCTACGAAAGTAAGTCACACTAAGGAAATAGACGATTCAGATGAATGTGCATAGTCAAAACACTGCTACCTTATAATTTTGCTTCTGTACATTAAAGCCCAGTGGCTTCGCTGCTTCCTCGATTTTAAACATAATTTCATTTGCAGGGCACTGTGAAGTAAATCGGGTTTCTCGCTTTACTTGATCCTACAGTGTTCAGTTTACATACGATACGACAAGAATCACCCAGAAGGACTAAACATAACTATCAACTTTTTATTGTCCATTAATGAATAAACTAAGAATTGAACTTAAATCGGCCATAATTGATCCAAATAACAATTCATTTTCTCATACCTTTTGCTTCTCAAACAAACTGTCGAGATTGAAACTTTGTGAACCAGAAATTAGCTCAAAAGCATTCATGTAGACGGGTTTCTCTTTTCTCTCTGTCACTAGATTTTCCTACAAATCAAAGTGAACGAATAAACAACAGAATTTTCTACGTTTGATGAAAGAATTTGAATACAAAAATTGCCTAAAAATCACTACATTAGACACATTGAAAGCAACGGCTACATCCTCTACACTTAGGTCCTCTTCCTCAGTAAATGATGCTTGCTTGTATCCTTTCTTGAACCATTCATCTTCTAAGAGCTCAGGAATTTTTATCCTCTGCAAAAACCAAATAAAAGATCTTGAATTAAAACCATAGCAAATAACAACAAACAGAACAGTAAAATACAACAGTAATGGCCCAATAGGAAACTAGCATGTAGGAATGGTCAATACTTCAAGCAAAAGTTTAAAGCAAACCGTTAGAGGGTTTGGATCAAGAATGCGTTTCAGCAGTTTCTTTGCCTGTGGCGGAAACCATGATGGACAAGAGAATTTTGCCATGCCAATCTGAAATATATAGTATTTATAGATTTTCAATTCCATAAATAATGATGACAAAGTAAAATTTTAGTTCTCAATTCTCATAAGTAATAATCCAAAATGACTTACTTTCCTGTACAGAGCCATATGAGTTGGCTCATCAAAAGGCAAGTAACCAGCCATAAGTACAAAGAGAATGACTCCACAAGACCAGATATCAGATGTAGAACCAACATAACCTCTATCTTTAAGCACCTGATACAAATTGCACACAACATACTATTTATTTAATGCAAGTTTGAGGAACTAATTAATATAATGTAGTTTACAATGTCATTCACCATGTCAAGACCTAAAGTAGGTACCTCAGGAGCAACATAATTCGGGGTTCCACATGCGGTGCGGAGTAGTTCATCCTCCTGCATTATATAAGAATTTGCTTGTATCAGCTAAAACTGTAACTTAGGCAGGTGCACAGGGTATAAATCAGAAATCAAATAACATGAAGCATGTATCATTCCAATATAGCAGAAGTCATCTTACTTTCTGTGAGTATGTACTCAATCCAAAATCTGAAACTTTAAGAACACTATTTGAGTCCAGAAGAAGATTCTCAGGCTGCAAGATGACCATAAAATAATTGAATCCTATCAATCTAAATTTGAAAGTTATGGTGCAGGGTAGAGAAGATCAAGGAAGTTGAAAGACCTTCAAATCTCTGTGATACACGCCTCTACTATGACAGTAGTCAACAGCATTAATAAGTTGTTGGAAATAATTTCTTGCTTCATCTTCTTTAAGTCTCCCATTTGAAGCCTAGAAATCAACGAAGCAATCCAAGAATTGTATGCGCTCAGATTCAAGATTCTCCAGGAACAAAATTGATATAAAAGTAAATAGAAAACAAATATATAGCGTACAAGGAATATATAAGTGTACGGATGTACAATAAGAAAATGAGACTTACTATTTTGTCAAATAGTTCTCCCCCGTTAACTAACTCCAGGACAATGAAAATCTTTGTTTTGCTTGCCATCACCTATCCTTTAATAGAGGACATATATTAACTGAATGTAATGGATTCAAAGAATAAGAAATTATTATGGACAAAAAAAAAAAGAATAAGAAATTATTAGGCTAATATGTAATTTAGGCTTATTCTAATATCATTGTTTGTGCTGTGAGAAGGTGTGTACCACTAGCACGCGTGCTGACATACTGCAACCCTAATGTAACAACAAAACTATGTAGAGTGTGTATATATGATACATAGCCTTTTCGCGGAAAGGAAGACAGATATTCACGTACTAACGTTTTCTTTCAAATTTTCCCAACATCAGAGGAAATACAAAAATAAAGGGGAAGGGATTTTAGTCCCTTCATTTTCTCTTCCTTACCTCCAAATTTAAATCAATGGAAAAATTAGAAAAAATAAATTATAAAATCCTCTTCTCTTTATTTTCCTCTAATTAAATTCATTAAAAACTGAGAAGAAAAAAAAGTTTAGCTCTTGATCAGTCTCTTGTTAATAACATCCAGATAAAATATACTCAGTAACAGTGTGATAAAAAAAAGTCGCATTACTAACATATTTCTCATTATTATATTGTCTTTTCTATATGTGCATACTTCACATGCTAAAAAAATCACAGTTTTTAAAATTAAATTGATTATCAAATCAGTAAAGATGCAATATTAATCAAGTAACATGACAAATATTCAAACTCAACAATAAATTTAACATTCATAAATTCATCTACATTTTATATTATTAAATACATGATATTTTAATGAAATATGATATAAATATATTTTAATTTGTATAGTAAAATTGGTTTCCTGCTGTATGCATTTAATATCATTACATTTACATGCAGTTTGCTGCTTATATTTATATTGAGAAACACGTGGTGTGGTGGTTACAACTACAAGTTGCTTTGTAAAGAGACTAAAGTACTCCTTACATGCAACGGAATGTTCTGTATTCATTAAGGTTGATCAGGTTATTCCTGAATCGAATATCTGTTCTGAAAGTTCATAGCTAGTTTAACAATTAAGAATCTGATAATCAAACCGCCAATACCAATAATTTCACAGTCTTGACTGAACCATTTATCACGGTTGAAGTGATCAATCCGATCTAATCTTTAAAATTATAGAAAATATGTTTAGCAATTTCTGCAGTATCACGTGTTCCCCGGCCCATACTGCTCGACTTTCATGGGGTAGTAGTGTGATGGATTGTTTTATATTCAGTTCTTGTACTATCAGTTTTATTTTATGTTTGGTATTTAAAAATAAAGAAGAAGAAAAAGATAGTGGGATAACCAAAAACTACACCAAATATATATCGCAGAGTATAACATCTAATTAACAAAAAACGAAACGTAAGAAAGCTACGTGGTTCGGTACCTCAAATATTTTAATAACGTTTGGGTGATTGATTAGCTTCATCGTTGATATTTCTCTCATCAGCTGCCAAGAACAATGACAAGATTTCATCAGCAAACTACGGTTGGTGCGGTTAATCAGCAACCTTAAACAAATTCTTAAGCAAGTAGATTAAAGATTAAGATATTTCTTCACTTTTATATATATATTATTTTAGTGACTTTACTAGTATAACTTATCCAACATGCAATAATAATAATAATAATATATACCTGTTCCGTCATGTTGTGGCGGAGAACATGTTTACGGTCGAGGATTTTGATGGCAACGTGGTTGCCGTTGTCGACATCCCTGGCGAACTTGACCTTGGCAAAGCTTCCTTCTCCAATAGTTTTACCCAATTCGTATTTCCCAACCCGGATACGACCTGTTGCTACTTTGACGCTCATTTTTTCTTTAACTAAGTTGTTGTTTAATTCGCTGATATATATAAGTTCTTAATTAACTTCTTATCCGTTTGGTCATATGAGGCTCGCGTTTGATCACTTTCGAAATCATTGTTTGTGCTGTGAGAAGGTGTGTACCAATGAGGAGGAAGGATGGTACATTGTAGGTCCCGCAGAGGTACTGTCTGAGTTTGCATTGCTACAGAACAAAACAAATGCGCCAATGGCCAGACGTGGCTTCCCTTTCTCTCCTTCTTGGATTAGTTTATTACTTTCCAAAAGAGATAACTAAAAGACAAAACTCAGGCGATGATGAAGTGATCGAAATGCTACACAGGATCATGAAGTGACACAATAATTATCATTAAAAATTATTTTCACTTATACAATATATATTATTATATTATTAAAAAGTATATATATATATATATATATGTATTATACCTTATTTCAAACTATTCAATTAATTGTTCATTTGTTTTGTCTGAAAATTTTATCTATGTTTCAAATGAAAAAGAAAGTCCACCGCACACATACTCTCCATGTAGTGTATGTTGTTAGTTAACTTAGTTGAATAATTAATTACTTGATGTTTTCATTATACTCTGATAAAAATTTATAGTTAAATCAATATAATTTCTATGCAAATTTTTTTTATGTTTATTGAGTTTTCTGATACGTGACACATAAAATGATATTAAATATATTTATTAGCCTATTCAAATTATGATATACTCCCCCATTTTCCGTTGACAATTTATTTTATTTGGAGTTGTGGTCATTTTATTTTGTACACCAAATTATATAAGGATGGAAGTTATTTTTTCCAATAACTATTCTTTTCCATTACAATGTTCCACATTAATTAAATAAATTTTATTTTTAGTTAATGAATGTCAACCAAAGTATAATATTTCTAGGTATATTATTGGCGAGAATAAAATACTCGAAAATGCAATATTTTACCTTTAAATAAATGATTTTTTATTTATTAATAATGGTTAATTTGATTGAACTATTAAACTTTAAATTAATATTTTGACTAATTCAATTATCTATGCAATTTTGAAGGATAAGATAATAATAATAATTTAATTTTTTGGTATACTTAGTTATAATTAGAAAAACCAACCTACTCTAGTTAATGTGTATTTAGATGGAAAAGATTCTATATATTCAATAAAAATTTTAATTTTTCAATATACTTACTTATAATTAAAAAAATTAACTAACTCAATGTGTATTTAGATGGATGGTGAGTTAATCTTGACAATATTTTTTAAAGCAAACATTATTAATTTCTGTGGTGAACTCACCATAATTTTGTACTCATCTTTATTTTCTATGGTAAAACCAAACACACTATTAATAAGATAAAAGAAATCAAATAACCTTATAAGTGACGTGAAAATATTTTAGTGAGACTTATGAAATACTTTACCTTGGTTGAAAAATATCTCCACGTAAAATGTTTATTACATATGAAAAGCCATAATGCAAAATTTTTTCAAAAAATATTTTATTAATTTTTCTTCATTATTAAAGTTGGAATAAAATGTTCATAATGCAAATTTAAGAATCTTACTTAATTTTATTAAATTTAATCATCATTAGATTTGGGATAAATTATTATTCACTGCCCCGCGTGGAGGGCGTACGTTCGCCCTCTTTCGTCAATTATGCATACATTTTGTCAAACTTCGAAGGTCCATTTTTGTTGCAATTAAGACTATAGGTGGGAAAAAAAAACTTGGTGAATTATTGAGCGGACAATGATTGAGTCTGAGAGGAGGAAAATAAAGATAGGATAGGAGAGTCACACAATTATATAGAGTTAAATATATTTTTGGTTTATTAAGTATCGTTGTTCTTAAAAGAATTCTATTTCTTTTTTTTTCAATTGGTAAGACTATAGTTACAATGATTTATTTTATGAGCAAGTGGTGCTAAGGAAAAGAATATAAAACTAACTTGATGTTTTCGTACATGCTCCATTTGGCTCAAGAGATATAACTTAGTTGGTAGAGTTTCATTCTTGCAAATAAATCATTATGGTTACGGGTTGGATGTCTAATTGTGCAAGTAGTAACATTACAAAACAAATTGACATGTAATGATACACCCTATATTAACACTATAGTTGTTACTAAAAATTACCATTACTTACATTATAGGTATAATATATGTTGATATATTATTAAAAAGTGTAGGTATAGACTAGTACTATAATGACATACAATATATGTTGTTCAATCTCATTTAAACCAATACTTAAATTGTGTATAATTATATGTTAAATAGATTTATATTTACATATATTGTATTTATAATAATTCTTTTTATATGTTATTGTATATAACATTTATTGTAGTGTAATGATAGTATCTATTATACCGTGAAATTTTAATTGAACAATTTTAATCTCTTTAATATCTTAATCATGTAATTTTAGCCCCTTCTATTTAAACATCTAATAATAACTTATAGGCTTAAATGCAATTTTTTTTATTATATTAATTAATGTATTGTGATATTGGAGTAATTTAATTTCTAGATATTCATTTTAAAGTTAAATTAAATAGTTACTATTAATTTAAATAAAAGATAAACTTAAAGTTACATACTTTATTTTATATACATGATGCCAAATGACAAAAAGTTAATGTCAACATAAAAATAGTGTAAATTGATTATTTTTAGACCTGTCAATTTGGTCCGAATCAGTCCATAAATAAACTAAATTAGACCTTAAAAAGAATTACCTAAATAGAATTATGTTATTTTAGTCTAGTCTACTAAGTTCAATAGGTCAAATGGGCTCTGATCAAGTAAATCTAAAGGCTTATGGGTTGATGGTATTGTCATTGTCAATGAGTGATGTATTATAAAATAATTAAATAAAATGTAATAATAGTAATATTTTTTCAATATTTTACGCTCGTTAACAAAGTTGTGGTTATAAACTTTGAATTAAAGTTAAGCACTGTGAGGGTTTATTAGCTCTTGCTTCAAGTACTAATCATTTAAGATGTCATATTATTAAATGTATTGAATCTTATCATGTTAAATAATAAAACTGTTATAAAAGAAAGTAAAATAGAGAGAACAAAGAAGATAATATGAGATGAAAAAAAGAATTTCGTGCTGATAACGTGTTATAAAAGAAAGTAAAATAGAGAGAACAAAGAAGATAATATGAGATGAAAAGAAGAATTTGACTACTTTGGGAGAGGAGTAACCTATTTATAAGTACATGTGGTAACTGAACAATTATATAATAAAGGGAATAATACATAATGGAAATATAAATGGTAATGATTGATAATCAATATTGGCATCCACTAATTATTATTCATAACAAAAACTAATTTATTGAAGTAGAGAAAATTTGATCCTAAGACTTAAAAGAGATGCACTTGCTAGGTGTATTATAAAGCATGACCTTCCATATACTTATGCTAAATTTGATGGGGTTGGAAAGTGAATAAAATGTTATAATCCTTATTTTAAACCTAATTATAGAAATCCTTCAACATTTGATCACAATAAAGTGGCTTTTAACGTACTAAACAGGAAAATTTAAAGAATGTATTAATTATTATTTTAAGTAAAATATGTTTGATTTCTAATGTATGGTCAATTATAACTATCCAAAGTTAATTATATGAATGTGACTGGCTGATTGTTCATTTATAATTAGTGTACAATATCAATTAATCATATTATAATGCTTATTTTTTTCATTATAAAAAATAGATTTAATTTTTTTAATATATTTTTAATTAGATCAATTTGACATGATGGTCTAATGTCCTGACATGGAGCAGATTAGGGCAAAAAATGGTAGCTTAAAAAGAATATAGGTTAGGTCAACTTAGTATAAAATAATATTTGGTCTATATAAATTAGGTTAGGTAGCTTGACTCGATTAACACCTAATTATTACCAATGTGATATAAGTATTGAGGTCAATTTTATAATGTAAGTCTCCATTAAGCTAAATGGGTCAGGTCCGAAAAGATTACTTCTATTTGAATCATTATTTTTCAATCTCAATCTAATATTATTTATGAGTTGTTCGAATGATCTTAAGAATTAGATCCAAATTGACACTTCTAATTCTAGTGACGTGGTTTGTTACGATGAGTGGTCATTCGACAATGAGAAACTTGAAAGACAAGGAATGAGAAAGTTGACAACTTACGTTGTTGATAGTGATTATGGGCTTCAAATCAAGCTTGACAGTGATGACCACCATGAGAGAACAACTAAGAGCCATAGTGATGCGAGTGGAGCAATACAAAGAAATAATGCTTTAAGGAGAGATAGAGTGAGGGTTTGGGAACATCACAAGAACAAAAGGAAATGAGTGAGGTCTGAGCTTTCTGTGTATTCAGAATTGGGTTGCAACACATACTATTGAAACTAGATTAACATTGACTGATATGTCTCACATGATATGTTATGAGGACTAATCCTTATTTTTATTTTTATAGGGATTCTAACATGAAGCACCATATATGTTAGGTGCTACACTAGTGAGACATTAAAAATAAGCATCTATTAGGTGGTTCATCTAGTTCCAAGCTATATGAAGCGCATGATATGTATAATTTTGAATTGAATAGCTGAAATGTTGTAGACTTAATTTACAATTGTAGAGGAGGTGGGTAATCAGTGACAATGTGAATTGAATTCCTTAACCATATGAGTCTCCAATCACTATAACCAGACGATAAGAACAACCTCATTATCGTTGCCTGTGATCTAGAACTTGAAGAGTAGTCATTTATTTTTTTTTAAGAAATTGTCACGATGATTACGGAGGCCATGACATGTTGCACAACGATGATGACGATAAAGGGAAAGATGGTGTCAGAGAAACGTTACCAGAGAGTTATGAGTGACGGATGGTGGTGCTAGGAGAGTTGAAGAAATGCAGCACGGTGGGATCGTTGAAGAGGCAGTTGAGTGAAAAGGAATTCAATCATGCAGTTGAGGCTTTTTAATACAATAGTTTAAAAATATTGGTCCAGATGCCAGCACGAAGCTTCGTGCAAAGCCAATTTCCACATCAATGAATTCAATGGAGAGGTTTTTAAGTGTAATTACAAACATAAATATTTATATAAAATAAAATTTAAATATTGTTAAAAATAAATGTAAAAAATATTAAATAATAAAATATTATTATCATGATTCTTTTTCCTATTACACTCGTGAAATTTTTCGTAACATACTTCATCACAGAAGCACTCTTATTTTTAATCACACATCATAAAAATTGTTAAATTAATTAGTAATTTTTTTGATACAAAAGAGTCTCGTACCAATAATTTACTTGTTTGAAAAGAGAATATATTTTAATATTTTATTTATAGAAAAGTTTTACTTTGATTAACTGAATTAAAATATAACTATTCAAAAATCATATTTATAACAAGTTATTTAACGAGAACATTATTATTAAAAATAAACATAATAAATATAAATTATTTTTTATTTAAATAGTGAAAATTATAAAATAAAAAAAGGTAAATACATGATTTTTTAAGTAATAATTTAATCAATAAGTAACTTTTAATTAATTTTCTCCGTATATATATAACAATTAGATCGTAAAAATATTGTATTTTCAATTGTTGAATTATAACGGTGGAGATTGAGTTTTTCTTTCTTTTGTTGATAGAAATTAAGAAAAATGTATAAGAAGTTAATTTTGATCCTGGTCTACAGATGAAAAAGAAATTTAGTTGACATTATTATATATAGACGGTTGAATAAGCACAAGCACAAGCACGTACCTAGCTGAGCCCCGCTCTACGGCTCTACGGCTCTACCCATATAATGCTCGTCTTTCTCTTATAAGTTAAGTAGAGCTTAAGTTGTTTGAGTCCCACATCGTGGGCCTGCATTCATGTTGTTATTTGTTTTCTCAACAGACAACATAGGCAAGTTTTGTTCAACTTGAGATGAGATCAAACGAGGGAGAGGAAAATGGAGGCTACAACAAAAGCAGAAGCAGAAGCAGGTCATGTTTCTTTATTTTATTCTTGTCCTTCTTGTTGTTGCTAAGCATAGCAGGAGCTTTGGTGCTTGGATGGTGGCTACACAAATACCATCCAACAAATACTCAACTCTGGATGGTGCCCTTTGGCTTCCTTCTCTTCCTTACCCCTCTCATTATCTCCCTCTCACTAATTCTTCCTCTTTCCACAACCACAATCAACTGCCTCAAGTCTCAACCAAACAGATCATGATCTTCGCATCTTATAACCCCCTTTTCTATTACTTCTCTGCTTTCATTCTTCTTCGAAACAAGTTTGTATAAAACACTTCAAATTACATATTTCATAGAGTATACTACACCTCTCTTCACTTATTCATTAAAATGACTTTGTTTCAACAATCTTTTGTTGTTAGTTTCTATAGATTAATTAATTCTTGGTTACAGGCTACAGCTAAGTATCAGATATCTTAGGGGTAGTACGTGATATCTGGGACCAAATTTTTCAGTATTATTATTAAGGTTTTAAAAAAGTCTGCTATCTCAATCACAGTTACGACTGTATTTATTTATAATTTCTCCTAATATCAAATATGGAAACAAAGTTGTGACTGGAACCACAAATTAAAATATTGATTACTATTGTGACATGTTATTATTATTATTATTATTATTAAAAAGAGGTTACAGGGGATGATATCTATGGTGATTTAGAAGAGGCATGGCAGGGGTGGGGTAGTCACAGATGTTCCCTTCCCCAGATTCTGCAATCCAATTGGAATTGACTAGGCCACATATCGGTAGCTTTCAAGAAAAAGCATTTTTTCCAACACCGTCCCCAGTTCACCCTCTATTACTTTCCAAGACATCATGTTGCTTTCCAATAATACCATTATTTTAAAAAGCCATTTTTTAAGACTTCCAAGAAGCTAAGAGCCACAATAATTCATCCAAATTTCTATAAGAACCCTATTTCAATACAAATTTGTTAGGAAATCTTTAAGGTTGTGTTTGTACCAAGAATTTTCAGACTTCATTAAATTTAAAGTATCTATATTTTGAATTATTTTGATTTAAGATTTGTTCATTTAATTTCCATTCAAGTTGACCTAGCAGTGGGGTCTTGGGAAATTTAAACTTTGCACTACATCTAAGTTAAATTTTGTTGTTCCTATTGTACATACACAATAAAAAAATGTAGAAATTATTTTATCTTTACCTTTATCGCCACTTAAGGCAATTTGCTATACGACTTTTATTTTATTAAAGAGCATTGTTATATTTTCCGTGTACGACTAGAAGCACTTTCTCAATTACTTTATAAAAGACATTTCTCAATCAATAGTCAAAAACTAATTATTTTCAAGTGTGAAGATTACAAAAATAAGTTTTAAATAAATTTTGCGTTAAACCATTACTTTTTGCCCATCTAATTCTTTGAATAATTTATCCTTTCCTTTATTGAGAGATGAATAATTATTATATTTTAATTTATGTTAATATATATGAATCTCTTAACAATAAGAAATATGTATAAACTAACCTCTCCCATTCTTCCTTTTTATTATAGAGTTTGAAGATAAAATATTGTTTCAAGTTTAACCACCAATACTACTACTGGCTTTGAATCATTACCCAAAATCTTTACACGTTCTAAAATCTCAAAAAATTGATAAGGGTTTCAAAACTAGCTCTTGTTGATGCCGAGAATCATAGCAAAAGCAAGATATCTGAACATTATTTCCGTTAAAATGAACTAAAATATAACACTTAAGATTCAGGGGATGTAAAATTGGCAAGGAAGAAAAGATAACTTATATGCATCTTTCAGAGGAAAGAAGTATGATTTACGATCTATACTCTAAGACGATTAGATGAAACATGTCGTCGAGTTTCATTGCAATCCGAGGGATTGGTACAAAACAAAACATACACCATGCGCAAATCAGGTACCCTGAACACTGAACATCACCAGTTCCCACTACTTGAAATTCAGCATGTTTTAGAAACTACTTGATAAGAAGTTGACTAACATTAAGAATCAAATAATAGAATGACTGAATGAGTTTCTTGACTCCTTGAAGCCAAGGTTATCATTCCCATCTAATTTTCAACAGTTGCATCTCTCTCAGACAAATTTTGGACTCCGCAATACCTTAACAAATCTAATATTTGGATTAACTCTTTAAATATCTTATCAATGAGTAGTAGTACAACAAACAAATCAGATTAATAATGCATCAACAGATAAAAGTGAGGTTCCACTTTGATCAATCGATTCCACAAACAAACCTACAACAGCATTTCAACAGAACAGTACAATAATCGACAGGTTAAACAGTTGGAATGAATTTGTCCTTCGAAAGCAAATCTACATTTTGTTCCCTTGAGATGGCAAGTTCTTAAAATGATTATACGAATAACCAATACAAACTGAATCGGAGATTACATATATACATCTACTGCACAATTCTTTAATTTTAAACATATGCAGTCGAGCATAAAAATATTTTCATGCCCTACACTGCACTCACTGTCATGAACCATAAAATAGCATCATTTACTGAAAAAAAGGTTCAAACCTGTAAGGGACCCAGGCTTCATACATCAACATCTGACCTTGTTGGGAACTCAATGCCCCTTAGTGCAGGTATGTTGTCTAAATCCTCTTTTGAATACAATGGGAGCAACCACAGGACCTTCTTAGTGCCGAAAACCTTTCAAAGGTAAAATATATAAATAAAAAACAAAATAAAAAATAAAAAATCAGATAAGATTGAATATAATCTTCATAATCTATTAGTTCAATCAGAGATCACAGAACTACTATTACAGAATTCTTTTAAAGTTTAATTACACTTTTAGTCTCTCTACTTTCTCAAATTCCCGAATTTCATCTCTAATTTTTTTCATGAATCTAATCCTCACTATTTTAATTGTGCAACTTTGGTTCATTTATTGACTTAACATCCATTATTCAAAAAAATGCTAATGTAACACTCTACTGCACTACCTTCCATGCTGACTTAGTACTCTATCAAACTATCACGTTCCATTAAATATTGGATGTACAGTTAATGGATAGCAAAAATTGCACAACTAAAACAGAAGGGGAGTCAAATTCGCAAAAAGAAAAAAAGGGATGAATCATGAAACTGAGAGTAGAGGGACCAAAAGAGCAATAAAGCCCTTTTATTTTGATAGAAACTGTTACATGGTTTATTCCTTGGAAGAAAATCATTCCATGTTAAATTGCAATAAAACTATCACATTATTTCAGATTATATTTTGGCCACCAAGAGAAGTTATAATCCGTTAGTTTAATTACAGATCATGAGACAAACAAATCCTCAGCAGAAAACTTAATTTTATGTTAAATTTCGTTAAAAAAAAACCACAACATTGAAAGTAGGCTTTAGTCAAATTTTTAGGGGGCATGAAAAGTCCTTAAACCATCCCAGGAAGGATCCTCACTATCCACTTTTACTCCACTTCTTGACTATTTCTAATCATTTAAAAAAAAAGGGTAATGGTTAGAGAAGCCTCCAAGAGTAAGAATTTTCTTATGCCAAGGGGCATAAAATTGCTTTTTGTTGGGAGAGAGGGTAGAGGAGAACTGAAAGGTGTTAGGAAAAAACATTAAATTTCTGAGGTTAAAAACGTGTTCCTTTTTTTTTTTGCTGTTTTACTATCATTTTGTAATCTTTTCCTACTTGATATTTAGATATTACCTGCTCAAAATTCCTCTTCCAGCCCAGGTCGTACCTCCACCTAACTCCTTTTTTCTTTTCATGAACCTAAAACACCATTTTTACAAACAATATTTTAGATAAAAAGAAGACACAATGTTGCATGAAGATTCAAGATAAACAATGCCAAGTTATTTTCAAATTTGTTTGGTAGTCAGTGCAGAGTTTTTGTCGAGTTTAAGTTCACTAAGACAATGAGGAATTAGGAATAGATAGTTGAATCAATAACTCAATGAAACAAAAATATGCCCCAAGTACATAACCATATCATCAGAATCAATGATGAACCTAATGAATCTCATGATTCTGTGGTCTATAGATAAAATAAAACTGTTCAAAGCACTGCCATGAAGTATTTTTCCAAATGAAAGGTGATTTTGTAACCCAGCTAAAGATAAAATAAAGCAGTTCAAACAGGGTAAAGAGAAAACAACAAGGTATTGATTACCTCTACTGAAGTTGTGTTGTTTAACAGAAGAGATACATGCATAACAACGAAACAGAGAAGACTGAGCGCAAAGGCTAAATTAAGAACTGCATCAAGGCACACAATCTGTAAGAAGCATTAACAGTTATGAGAATGCAATTAAGAGGCAGTGACAGTCACTCAATTTTTCAGAAGCAGAAGACATATCCTTACTAGAAGCCAAAAAGATGACAGCAAAGCCCCCGGGAGACAGTGAACGAGTCTTGGCCCCACCAAAGAATCTGATAAAACTAGGAACCAGAGCTAAACAATCCAGCGTTGTCTCGAGAAATGTATACAGCTATGAAAAGGGGGATAGAAAGGAAAGTTAAGCAAAAGAGACAAAATGTAGATAATGAGAATTGAAGTTTTATCTAAATGGCATTGAATGAAATGTTTTATTTTATTGTGTAATAAAAATAGCATGTGTGTGTTAAGTGTTAAGAAATAGGTATTGGGTGGAAGGAATAAAGAGAATTACCAAGAAGAGGAGAAAAAACTTGTAGTTGCGTGCGCCAACGCAATTGACGACCCAAATGCAATGATGATCCATCTTGAGAACGCACCTTTGGCCTAGAAAAAGGAGAAGATGGTAAGGGAGAGGGCGAGGAAGAAGAAAAAGAGGTTGGAAGAGAGAATTACAAATAGAGCAGTGGTGGGAACGCGGTGGCTTGGCGTTTTGGCATCGAGAGCAGTAGGCGGAGGGGGAGGGGGTTGCCTGGAAATGGAAGGGCAGTCTGGAATTGTGAGGAACGGAACCGGGATCAGTGAGGAGGACCATGAGGTAGGAGGAGGTGAGTAGCAGGAGGAGAATGTGAAAGAGGAGGAGAATGAAGAAGGCGGAGAGGAAGGAGGGGAGGCGGAGAGGGGAGCGAAAGAGGAGAGGGCCCCATGTGATTACAACGACGGCGTAGTAAGTGAGGGCAACGATGGCTGCGAACAACAGGATCATCAGGTAACCTAAGACTCTGAGGCCTGACCATAGCTTCAACACGTTTATGTTTGTTCCCATTCTTATCGCTGCGCTTGGGATTGCCACTGACCTTCTTCCGCCCGGGAATAGGCGTTTCCAGATATCCGATGCCAGGATGGAATTGCTTCTTCCCCTTCTCCTCCTCTCTAGTCTCTATCCATCCACATCCAACTTTATTTCCACCATTTAAACAAAATTAAATTATTTTTTATTTTTACTCCTCTCTTACATCATATAAAATTCTTTTTTACTTTTTAAGAATAATATTAATTATAATTTGATGTTTATTTCTCTTTTTTACTTCATCTATTTATAAAAAGATAAATGATGCATAAAATATGCATCTCAACAGTTTTTGTTTTTGTTCTCAAAAAGTCGTATCGTTAATATTTATAAAATAAAGTTTTATCATGATTTTATATAATATATAGAATTATTTTTTATTTTTAAAAATTTATGTTTTTTAATTTTTAATCATGTTTATATATATATTTGATTTCTCATATTTTAATAATAATTTTATTTTTTATAAACTAAAATTAGATGAACAATAATTAATGATTTTTTATTTTTAATATTTGTAATATATAATGTCGTTTTAAAAAATATTTAGTTATTTTTTTATATTTTTATTTTATTTTAAGACAAAATTTAATTTGTAACTTTTTTATTTTTAAAATGAGATAACATCTTATAAATGATTAAATAATGATATATTCAAACACTTTAAAATTGTTTAACTATTTGTTAACATGTATATTCAAATACAATAATCTATTAAATTTTAAGTACTTATAACATAAATTCTTATTATATAAAAGGTTATTAAATGAGTTATTTGTAATGAACCAACAAGCCTTTACTCTTTATAGTTGAGTGACTAAAGCAGTAGAAAACATAAAACTAACTAATTAAGATTATTATGCAAATGGTTCTTTAATATATATGCAACAATATATATAAATATATATATATATAGTTAATCACCTATACACTATCAGTGTAAAGTTTTTTTACACTGACAACCAATTATATCTCTTAATTATGTCATGTCACTATAAACACATTTACTTTTAACAGTGACATGACACAATTAAGATATATAATTGATTGCTAGTGTAAAAAAACTTTACACTGACAGTATATAGGTGATTAACTCATATATATATATATATATATGTGTGTGTGTGTGTGTGTCATAGATCATGTACATATATACATAACTACACCAAATTTTAAGTTGAAAACACAAAATTTATTTTAGTTGTTGATCAAGCAACAACTACAAAACAACTAATCTCGAGTAGTACCAAAAGAACTCTATATTCACCAACATGGCTCACTACACATACTCCTCCTCTAGTCTATCTCTACTCTACTCTCATATTAAGTATGATTATCTCAGCCCAAACACAAGGAAACATGCGAGTGTAAAGTTACAAAAAATAACATAATAAGTATAAATGTAGAGTACAACTATATTATCAACATCAATATATAACTACTTAATACAATTCATTAAGGATTCAACTGTGCAACACAACAACACCTCAACTTAGCATATGAATTCTACAATTCTTCAACACAACATATAATCAACATAATAGCCCACAATAAATTATTTCATAACACAACAAATTCACAACATTTTAACATGTCAACATATATCAACTCTACAACTGAATAATAAAATAACATAATATATCGTCACGCATTTCAATCAAGACCTTAGGGTGCAAATCAATTATTGGGTTACACCAAAGGTCCATCGAAAATTTGCTTTCAAGGCGGTGGCTAGTGCCACAACACAATATTCTCTTTCATTCTTTTTCTACTAATATTTTCTAACATGCTACACTTGATAGATTCACGTTTTGGCTCAATCCACTTGAAATTTAGAAATTTTTAACATGCAATGCACAAAATAGTGTCTACACATTACTACCAACTCATTATGGTCAACAAAAACATGCACCCATTAAATAGCTCAAATTCAACAATTCTCCTTCAAGGCACCAAAATCCCCCAAGAGCCAAAACCCACTCCTCAATTCTATTACAACACAACCACCAATATGCATAACTCAAGCAATGTTCTGGGTAGAAATCAACATGAACAATATAAAAACCAACAAGATATAAGCTTTAATTACTTACCTCTAAATCAAATAGAAAAGAAGGAGAAAAAAGAAGATGGAGTTTTCCTAGCTAACTTCGCATGGACACAACCACTATTTTGATTCTAGGTTCTGAAGCTTTGCATTTCTAACCAACTACTAAAATTCACTCTTAGGGAAAGGACAAAAGAAAATATGCTAAATCGAAAGAGAATGTGATTTTCCTTAGCTCTAGTGTCCCTCTCTAACTTCTTTCTAACCTTTATAAATAAATGAACTTATGAAATTTTATTAAAAAAATTATATATATATATATATATATTTATTTCACATTTATTAGGTTAGAAATGGATATCTGTGATACGAGAGAATATATTTGTTACACTATATATATATATATATATATATATATATATATATATTCTCCTAACAAGTCAACTTGATTTCAACTCAGAATAACTTCTAAATTACAAAACTCATTAAGATTTTCAAATCCTTAGGATTTTAAAATAATTAATCAACTAATCACAGCAACATTTAAATTAATAATATTAATAAAAATGCACATGTTACATTATTTGGCCAAACAAAATTTAATTCTCTTTATTGTAAAAAAAAAAAGAAAAAAGAAGTTAATGTATTTAATTATTATTATTTTGATAAATAATGTTTTGAATTATAAGCATACACACGATGTAGTCATTGGTTAATTAACAATTCTGAAAGAACTTGTTGACACCAAAATTCAATCACTGGGTAATGTGAACATAATGTAGTGTTGGGCCTGTCTGGGCAACGTGGAACTACCTTAAGCCGAACTACACCAAATGTAGGGGGTTTCGTTTTTGAATCATAATCTCCAAGAGTCAAGGTACCTTAAAATATTCCTTGTATTTATGTTTATGTTTTTTTTACTTAGTCTTGAACTAGTGCGGAAACCCGTCCATGCCACCAGATATATATTATTTTCATCTAATTTAAATATTAAAATTCAATAAGTTTATTTTGGACAAATCTAATTAAATTTCTTTTAGTTAATTGAATATAATTTTCATAAAATATTACAATTCAGTAATATTTAATTGAATATTATTTCATAAAAGAATAATTATAAATACTTATATTACATATTTTAAAATACAATTCAGTATCATTATTTGATTAAATAAATTTATTTGGATAAATCAAATAAAATTTCTATATTAGTTTAGACCAAATATAAATTATTTTACATAATATATATTAGACCTAATTAGGTTTATCTTATCATTTATAAATCTTATTCTTAATCAGATTTTTTTATAATTATATTAATAATCTAATCATTATAATTTGTCAAGTCTATAAATAAATTATTTCAAAATAAAAAAATATATAGTTATTTATAGATAAAAACATGTATTCTTAAACCTAATAATATCAATTATTTTCTTAATAGTCTAAGTTGTCATAATACCTTAATTTATTATGCAAAAAAAAATTTATTCAGTATATTTTTTATTCAAATATATTAATTGTACATTTATTTCATTAATTATTATTATTTAAATAATGCAACAAAATAATTATGCATGCTAAATGTTTATTTTTTAATTAAAATTATAAATATATTTATCAAAATTAACTTAATTATTTTTATTCATTATACCATAATAAAAAACAAAAGTGACAATGATTTGAATATCATAATATAATTTATTTAATCATTAAATTTATTTATTGTATTATTAATATCCGAATATCTGTAATATGTATGAATTCTCAATGAATGTAACAACGTTTACCTTACCTATTTGTGAATTCATAAATGTACTATGATATGATTCTAGAAACATTGTGGACACAACATCTCAAAGATCTTGACAAGAGATTCTCATTCCTTGACTCGTCGCACCTACTCCTAGACTGAGGCTCTCTTTCTCTTGTAGTTTTTGTCTTTCCCTGGATAAAGTTCCTGCATTTGAGTTTTGGATTTGTTTGTCGTAAATTGTTGATGATTCTCTTTTTTTTTGTTGTTGTTGAGAAATTAGGATCTGTGCTCTTTAGTTATTCAGTGAACATTACAAGGCAAATAAGATCAACAAACACCATATATACGCAGAAAAATGACCCCCGAAGAGGTTCAACAGGTATGGTTTTTAACGTTTTAATCATGTCCATAAGATGCACTCGGACATCTCATGCATTTAAATTATTTTTAAGTTGGTAAGTGAATGAAAGTGGTTTTTGGAAATTTTCACACCAGAATCATCCATGGTATATATTTCTTGAAATACTTAAATGTTTGAGATCGAGGACATGAACGTTAATGGTGCTAATGTGTTTGAAATTTTTCTATAGTATACTAAACAAGATTCATGAAGAGATGTAAGTTTAAAATTCACAAAATTGTTCACTTGCTCTTTATGTTTTAGGCCTATTTTGGAGAAGTTTTATCCATCGTGACATTTGTTTTCTTGAAATGATTGTTATTTCCTATGATCTACATGTTATATACCTTGTTATGACACATGATGAAGTATCTCAATAATGAGAACGAGAACTTGATTAATGCAATACGGGCAAATATGACTCTCGGAAGGCTTCATGAATGTGCCAAGTAAGTAACCTCATATCTGCATATTTTATTTGTGCCGACTTTTGGTTTGAATTTAATAAGTGGTATACAAGTATTAGGCGGATTGATGGATGTGATTGAGAAATTGGTTTGATTTCTTAGGTACCAAGAACGACTCCGAAAAAATTTCATGTATTTAGCTGCAATTGCTGATTGGCAAGTACAAAAGGTAGGCATTGCCCCAAAGATGTAAAATAAGCATTTCTGGTCCCTTGCAATCTATCAGCTCTAGGATGGCAATGGGCTCCATGGAGGCGGGTAATAGTAAATTCGTCCCGTTCTGCCGGATGAAAATTGGTCTCATACTCACCTCATATCCACGTGGGTATCCATTAAGCGGGTATTTATGAATTTCTTGAATATCCACGGATATTCATGAATATTTATAATTTTTTTAAGAAATTAAAAAAATTATATTACAAATAATTTTAAGTTTATATTTAATGTTATTGAAATATTAAAAATAAAAATTTAATATTAATTTTGAACTTGTATTTAACATTAATTTTGTTGAAATAATAATAAAAATGAAGATAATCAATAACTTAAAATACGTCAATCTCACAAGTTAAAGTCTCATCACAAAGTTGCAATAATTCAATCTCATAATTTCAAACGAAAGTAAACAACTTAAAATACATAAATTTTATTAGTCCAATCGAAGCTAGAAAATTAATCAAATTACATCCAACATAATTTTATAACATGCTTAACACATGTTGGTAACTTCATCAACCTCACTTTTGTAAGAAAAAAAGATGAGAGAATGTAATTTTAGGATTATGTGGTATAGAGATAATTAAGATATTTAAGAAATATTATTAAACGGGTACCCGCAAGTATGAATATCATCATACCCGCCCCTGCCCCGTTTATAAACGGATAAAAAATTATCCGTCCCCATTATCCGCGAGTACCCAATTAATTTATCTATTTATTATCCGTAGCGAATTTTACCCGCAAATACCCACGGGTGCGAGTATTTTTACCATCCCTCATCTCGTCTTGATTGCCTCATTTTGGACACTTGTAGCATATGAACCCAACCCCTAGGATGCAACAACATGGAATTTCTCCCCAAAACATGTCATTGCAATTTGGTAATCCACAACAGCAGACTATCCAAGGACAAACAACACCAAGAACTCCATGGATAGGTAATGACTTGTATCCAATGCATAGTGAGGTTGTTCTTGGAGGTCACACCAATAGTACTGGCTCATCTTCAAATGTGGGTCTAAATGATGCATCTGATGGAAGCATGCAAGGTTCTTCTGAGGGCACTAGAGATGTTCATGGCAGCTCAACTCGTCTGCCTGATCTTAACAAATAGCGATATTGTATTATCTTTTCTGATGGACTTGTGACATGCTTTCTTGTAGCTAGCTTTCGTAAGATACATGTAACTGTTGATATTAGCCTTCTCTTAATGGTGGGACTAGTGTATTCGATGCCCGTTGATAGGTCAAGCAAAAGAACAAAGTTTCTCTTCTTTTTATTTTTTTTGTGTGTGAGCAAATCAATAAAAGAATTTCTTTTAGGTTCTTGGCATACGACAATTTTGTATAGCTAAAAGTGCTGCTATGATATATAGGATGACAAAATGTACTTGAATCATACGAATACTTGCAAAATTATTTATAAGTTGAACAAATACTTATCCGCAATGAATGTGGTTGCCGGGTTGGTATGAAAATATTCAACATAATTTTGTTTAGGGTAATAGAGTGACAATAAGAAAATATAGTTGTACCCAGACGAATTAGTGTATCTATCTATTTGTAAACTCCTTGAAACATCTCACTGTTTTCTACCAAGCAGCAATTACAACTAAAGCTACGCTACATACAATCTTTCAAGCAAAGATCTATACATCTCAATCATACAAGCCATAAAACAAAAGCATGGAGAAGTTGGTTTAGGCCCAAGCCTCTCCACCTCCTTCGCTAGTATTTACAATACCAAGACTCTCACGCTTCTTAGTGGGCTTGCTCAATTGAAACACAGGGTGTCTGCATAGCCTGCGCACTCCTTTTCTCAATCTCATCCAATGTTCATTCTCATATATACCCCTATACCTATTCTCTAATGGACCATTCTCATATCTAGAAGGTGAGCTACCACCTGAAACGGATTCTAATTCCCCACCTCGGTTTCCCTTTTCCTCAGACTTCCAAAGTTTCTCTTCAATGCACCATTCTATTCTTCCCAAGGTTGAAGTTCTCGAGAACTTGGGTACCTTTGCGGTACAAGTATCCTCGTATTCGGTTTCATCACAAGATTCCTCAACCCCGTTGTTAACTTCCAAAGGAATATGAGAATCACCTTTGCAGGAGGGAGAATCCAAGAGTGATGAAAGCTGTCTCGCCTTGGCAATTGATTCATCTCTTTCTCGAAGGGTCTTCAGAATCAATGTCTTAAGGAAATTCATCACTTGCACTGCATGGATCAATGCAGTCAAAGGGTCCGCCATCTGCATACCACAATCAAACAAGCATTTAAAATGTGTTTGAAAAAACCAACAAACAACAACTGAAGGAACAGGAGCAAATTAACGTCTTTGGTTGTATTGTCAACCAACCTGTGTCATATTGGGAGCAAAAACCATGGCAATATTGCGAGCATTCATTTTGTTGAACTGTTCTTGCTCAACAACGTCAGCCATCAAATTGATTGCCCAGTCAAGAAGGGCAGCTTCAGTTGAAGGAAGCAGCTTCATAAGATTGGTGCAATCCTCTTCTGTGTTGCAATGCATCACCTGTTCGGGGGTGAGGGAATCAAGTACCCCTGTTGGAAGCTCTCTAAACCATGCCTGCAAGATATAATTTAAAACTTAAAAACAACAACAACAACAAAAAAGGGCAGAAAAGTTAAATTAAAAATTGAGAATTTAGTATGTACCTTAATCAAACCAGATAAACAATGAACGTCGATTCCAAGTGGGACCAGACCTCTGTTTAGCTGATCTCGCACAACCTCTTCTTGGCTGTTATCAGCATTAATCCGGAATATTCCTTCCGCCTTCAGGCACAGCAAGCATGAAATTAGGCCTCAAAATCATGTGAAAGTAAGGTTGTCAAAAAAAATTTTATTAACGGTTGGTTGTATTTAATGAGTTACTACTAACATTTATAGCTACGATACTAGAGTTAGGTTGTGAAACAAATTTTATTGATGGTGGGTTTGTATTTAATGAATTCTTGAACATTTATAGCCGCACTAGATGATCAATAAATGTTTGATAATTCGGCCAGCATACTGGTATGCTATCCTGTCTCAAGCTAAAGAGCAATTACGGAAAGTAAAACCAATTAAATGCGTTTAACAACTTATTCTGCACAAACAGAACATACTTTAAGGCCTCCCTCTGAATACAAGCGCTTTTGCATCATCAGCAGAATGGTTGGGACACTGTTCCCCCTTTCATCATAAGAACATTGCATTGACTTTGCAGAAACTCCGAATACTTTTGCACTGCATGATCATAAGAACTCAGTCAAAGATGGATTTAAAATGAAATGAAAGGAAGACAGTAGTACAGATATGAAAGATGAATCAATCATCTCCCAGCATAGTTAATATTTTCTCTATCTTGCCTCTCGCAACAACTGAATTCCCTCCTCACTGAGAAGGGAAAAGGCAATGAAGAGATTACAAATATAATCAACAACCACAAGATCAATCAAAGAACCTTCTAAGTTGTACTGAGTTTACAACTATAAATCCAGATCCAACTGTATAATTTCTCCCCAGTTGTAATGTAACTAATGTAAGTGATCAGACCTTTCGTTTTATCCAACATAACGTGTTACCGAAGGAAACAGTGGTGAATTCACAGTTACCAAGCAATTTATTTCACAATTGCTTAGATGCATTCATTAATAAAACTTAGAACAAATGTCAACCAAGAAATAAAGCAAAAATCGTTCCGGAAGGCTCATACAATTTCCAGGGCATCAAAACTTTAGAAAGCAAAGTTGCTAAGAATTTGCAACTTTAACACGAAACTAATATCTTATAGAGAAATTATTGTATGATCTAGACTACCATGTGTATATCGTCCCAACCTGTCCCCATGTGACTAGGCCAGGACCATCTGAACACTTCGGTGGATGCATTCTGCATCAGCCAACACACAAAGAAGCAGTCCTAATAAATTTAGAATCTTTTTCATGCAGTGAGAAAACAAATGCATCTAATCTTAAGAAAATTGTAAATCAACACTCTGTCTGATCCGAACCAAAAAAAAAACTCAACGAAATTGGACCCTTGGAGTTACTTCAATTACCCAAATTCATGTTTTATTATAATTCATAAGTAGTTAAAAAAGTATGATTGGTTGTGTAAGAAGAAAGGAAGAGAGAGTTGAAAGTTGACCTGGCACTAGGGACCCTCGTGGGAACCTCTGGCTCGAGTTCAGAGGGCAAACCAAGAAAGCCATTGAACCTATCAAATGTAACATGCGAGACATGGCGCACCTCTGTTGGCCAGCTAATATCCAAGGAAGAAACATCCTCTCTCTCCACACTGCAAGTCACCAGCGACTTCTTCAACGCAGCCATCAAAATATCCAATATCGCAAACTGGTTCGTTTGGCAACTATGGCCACCACCTACTTTTGACCCTGGATTGATGAACGGCGTCGAAACCTGGTTGCTCGAACCATCATCATCATCATCATCACTGTCAAACTCCACTTCCTCTTCCTCTTCTACTTCTTCTTCCTCCTCTTCTTCTTCATTATCATTGTCCACATTTTTGACATCGTGGAAAAGTGGACTCGGCGGAGCAGCATTGAACTCGACGAGTCCGCAAGATTTGGATCGAAATAGGCGAGTCATTGCCGTAATTAACGAGCAAGCAATAATGGGGGCGTGTTAAAAGGATCCGAATGTGTCTGTGAGAGAGAGAATGAGTATTATTATGGAGGCGGTAAAACTAAAACTAAAAGGGAATACTTTTAAAGGAAACGAGATGGGGTTGGTTAAGTGGTGAAAAGGAGAGAGAACCAAGGAAAGATAATCAGATTGGGACGCTATGCTGGTAAGGTTGATGGAGACTACTTGCTTTTCTTTTTGTTTGTTAGTATTATGTTGGTGGTCCTTCTTTTTTTTTTAAATAAAATAGCGGGTTAGTGAGAAAAATTGACATTAGAGTGAAAGTTAACAAAATGATCGAGCCTATGTGAGAGTGAAATGGAAGTTTTGACGGTAGTAGTTAATACAGTTTTGACATTTCGCAAATACGTAAGCTCTGTAAAATTTTATGATATTTGTTTCAGATTTTTATATTTATACAGTTGTTTCTTTTTTTAGATAAGATTTTGTTTGTTTACCCTTAATTTTTTTTGAAATATTTAGATTGGTTGTTGCCGGAAAAAAGTATATCTTTCACCTCAAATCACGAAAGATACTAAACCTTGAAACGGGGAAAACAAAGAGGGTGTGAATAAAAAGGTAAACAAAGGAGCACCTTTCGAAATTGAAATGAACTAATTACGCCGTTTTTCCGTGCTAAACTTAATTGGGTAGATAATTGAGGTTCGAAAAAGGGAAATTTTTATCAACAGTTGGTAAGTGACAGAATGGATTCTCATTCTCAACAGCTAGAAAGTACTGCTTGTGTTTTGGATTTTGCCTCCGAACTCCCACACCCAAGTCACATGGGTACATGTTCCTTCCTTGTTCGAAGCTGCAAACTTTCATTGCAACAATTAAATAATGAATTTCACATAAGTGAAGTGGAAAGTGTGTTGTGTCATTTTTGGGACCCGTAGGGCATGAGAACATGGCCATGCACACATCATGCAAATGCACCTACCTGTCCTGTCATTACTATGCCACCTCCGCGTGATGTTATCTACCCGTGGGCTTTTCTTTGGTCCCCATCCCATGCATCACGTGTATTGTTTGCTAGCCTCTATCATATTACTACTTACAATTAGGTGTAGGAATATAATAAAACCATTTTCTAATACCAATCCAGTCATAGGTTTCAGTTTTCATCTTATTCAATATTAGTAAACAATAGTTTTGGGGCTTTTCTTTTCTTGGGAACTTTTTTTTATATATCCTAACATTGAGTGTTGAATTACTCCAAGTATACGTGTACTGATGTTAACCATTTATATTATATTCTTCTAATCGCAATATTATGTGGCCTTGGGGAAACGAAGTTGAAACTTCTGTGTACCGGGGACTTTGTATTTATTTGGATTAGAGAGTTACTGTTACAATATTTTTATCAATGTTCCATTTGTTGACATGAGTGTATTTTTGTTTTTGGAAGAAAAAAAAAAGTATTGGGTCCTGTACTAATTATTATTGCGATGTCATCTAGTTTTTAGTTTGTTCGAAGTTTAATCAAAACTAGAGAAACAAAAATTAATCCGTTTGAGTTAAAATTTAATTTTTATGAAGTTAATCTATGTTATTTGTTTTAAAGAAGAGTTGTAAATATTGAGTGGGTAAGAGTAATATAAATACTACTGTATCTGAAGAGTCCAGTTCGGGAGGGAAAAAAGAGAGGATAAGGGGACGTCAAAAGTGGTGCTTTCAACTTACACAGTGCAGAAGTCAAGAACCATGTAAATATAAATGGTGCAGTAGCTGGCGTATTAAATGAGTCAGAACTAAGAGCTATGTGGGCACTGGGCAGGGCAACCTCACTTTCCTAGGAAGATCAATTCCGTTCCAATTTACTGCATTCGTGGAACTTGTTTGCAGTGAAAGGTTAATTCATTTCGCCTTAGACATTAAATTTAGTTCGTTCTCTGCCATAACCTAAGTCCAGTCTCGTACATTTAACTTACAAGACAGCCAAGTGATTATACACTTTAGAGGAAGATTGTTATTTCCCCCGCGAGATTCATCCAAATAATAGATCAATTTCTTAAGCATAGTATGACGAGCTTAATTTTTTGTCATATGAGACAAATTTTATTCAGAAAAAAAAACTTATTTGAATAATTTCTACACCTAAAAATAAATAAATTATATTTGAAAACCCATTCGCATCACTCTGCAAACAATAATTTACTCTTTCCAATTAGAATAAGAGGATAAGATCAAAAATGAGATGATAGAGAATAAGAGAAATGAGGTGTATGTTTATTACTCACATTTTAATATGCAACTTTCTTTTGTTTGGAGTTGGGGTGTATCACAATAACTAATATTTAAGAAATTGTGACTTTACAATCATGAGTTGAGCTTATGCCACCAAGTACCGATCATATATCTTAAAATGAGAGATAAATAATTAGATATAGAATTAAAATTTGAAGGAGATCGAGAATGGACACATATATCTTTAAATTTATATTTTTATAGTTTTATTTTTAGTTATTTCTTAAAAAAATTCCTACTAATAGAAATTGTATATACTTTAAAAACTTTTTATTTTTTCAAGTGATTCAATGATATAAAACTTTATTTACACCTTAACAAAATTCTCATCAATTAACCCTCTATATAACTCGCTAAATTGATGATATGATTATACATAGGTGTAATGTGTAAAATTAACTATGATCAATGAGTATGAAATTTCTCTGTAAGTATTATTGCACTATAAATTTCTTACAATGAAAGGTTGAACTACCATGAATAGTAGCATATACAAAGAAAAGAAATAACGAAAGTAGGAAAAATATTGAGAGAGAGAAAACCAGAATCAACCTTTTCATGCCATCTCTCTTGTAATTAATTGGCTATATATCATCATGCTCTCACACGTAATACCTCCAATGTGAATTTGATATTCTATTTCTCTTACTTTTCTGCTCCACCTTCTATGAATTAGTTGTCACCTGTCCCCTAGATGATGTGTCAGCTTCACTCTCCTTGTCCTTTCCCTTAATTACCCTTCTCTCATTTGTAGATGTGACAATACCATCCCCTTTAACCACAACCTTGTCCTCAAGGTTGAAAGTTGGAAATGCCTCTGTCATAGCATTATGATCCTCCTCCCAAGTAGCTTGTTAAACATCAAGTCTTTGCCATTGAACTAAATGTTGTGTCACTTGCTTCGATCCCCGAAGTATCGCACGAGTCTGTAAAATACTGGATGGCTGTCCAATGCGCTCCACAATTGGAAAAGGACCACAATTGGCAAACAATTTATGTTGTTGCAACAGGAGGAGGACCATTTCTAAGTGTTGTAAATGTGTAGACCAAGATGTACTATACAAAAGGATATCATCAAAAAATACAAGCACAAACTTCCTCAACAACCCACTAAAGACCTCATTCATCATTTTTGCACCATAAACTCAATCTGTTGTTTCTAGCGGTGAGGATATCGATAAGGTCTCACTTTAACCGGTGTTGTACCTGACTTCAATGGAATGGAATGGTCTTGAGAGTGCCTAGGAGGTAATCCCGTTGTTACAACAAAAACATCCTTGTAAGTATGTAGCAATCTGGCTAATTCTAGCCCATATCAGTTGGTAAATCTAACCACTGATCCTGTGGACAGGCAGGGTGTTGAAATTGCAGAATAAACAACTCAGAAATAGCATGAGTGTTTTGCATCCTTCTTAGGTGATTAAATTGAGCAGGTCGAGGAAGCTGCAACAGTTCACCTTGTAAAGTAATAAATTTGTCACCCACATAAAATTTCAAGGTTAGATTGCTGTAATCTGAAACATGAGAGTCGAGTGTTGCTAACCAAGTGTTGAGATTTCCGTTAAAACCACTTTTGTTATCACTTTAAATCACTTTTGTTTTGTTAAAGGTCTCAAACACGGCAAGTATACCGGCCGTTCAAGTAGTAAAAATATCGTATTCACAGGGATTAGAAGGTAAAATAAGCATTTATTGACTATTCGTGACTAAAGAATAATTCCAATTTCATAGTTTGTCATGTGAATTCAAAGTTGTGACTATTGGAATGAAAGCTATAAATAAATATTGGTTTGTGAGTGGAAAAGGATAGAAATGGTATAATGGTTTTGTGAGGTTGTGGGGGTTAGATTTCACCAAACGTCAGACTAATGAATCCTTAATCTCTTGTTACATACATTGCTTAGTCAACCCATAAGTTTACTCAAACCTAATCCCTTAGAGAAAGAGCCTAGGTGCGGACATTGAATATCAATCCCTTGAGTACTCAATATCTACACCCGCATTACGGGCTAGGGTTTAAGACTACTAATGGGTCAAGCTCTATCCCTAGATACAATCTCCACTAGGCATATGTTCCAGAACTAGTTTCAATGGTATTTCCCAATACTCAATGGAACCTTAAATCATGCAAAGGGTGATCAATCCAAAGCAAGCATTAAGCATAGAAACGTACACAACAATGAATGAAACAATACATATATATATCATTAAAAACGTAAGGATTACAATAGAGTACGTTGGTTACATCTAACCCCACAAAAATGGGTGGAACCACTCAACAATGAGGGTAAATACAAAATAGAGATGAAGGGAGAAGTGAAGAACCGAAGGAAAGATCCACACACGAACGTTCCCAAGCTCTGAGAATTCCTTCTACAGCTCCAAGGAGGCGCCCCTGCGTGAATGAGGGAGAAACCCTCGAAAATGGCTTCAAATACGAGCTTGGGGAGATCAGATTAGGGTTTCGCGACCGGCGCGTAAGTCTTCACGCCCGGCGCGGGGCCTTCCAGTGAGGTCAAGTATTCTCTGCCTCAGAACACGCCCGGCGCAATTCCTTTTGCGCCCGGTGCGAATATTTCTTGCAAAGACGAGGCACTCTGTTCTTCTCAAGCCCGGCGCGGGTAATGTTGCGCCCGGCGCAGCCACTCTGCTCTGCTCCCTACTCCTTAGATTTCCAATCCTAAGGGTCTTCAATCCTCAAGTATCTAGCTCAATACCTGCACAAAAATGAGGTGTATTAAGGTATTGTTAGCTAAATTTGGGTTAGTTATATCTGCACACAAAATGAACCAAAAAGAGAACAATTGTATTGCAATGGTTCAAAGAATGAGTGAAATTGTTTATTAAGTTTTGTCCAAAAAGAGG